CCGGCATGTGTGACCAGTGTATCATGCAGTTGCAGACGGTGACCGTCCGTCGGCTATATTAAACCCCCACGGCCGCCGGGGTATAGTCCTCGAAGAGTCCTATTACTCCGGCTAGCTGTTACTCAGATACTCAGTCAGGTGGCAAACTTGGCTCGTCAACGGCCACTAGGCCACCTGAATCAAATTTTGGAACGAAGGCACTTGCGCATACTTCCACTGAGTCGTGGAAATTGAGCTTATGATCCCAAACATTGAAGCATTAGAGTCCTCTGTTTTCGGCGGTCTAGCCACAGTTTCAATTGAGTTGATGAGTTGGTAATGTCAGGTCGAAACCGCCGCTCAAAACGGAGGGAAACGGTTTGTGTTTCTGGTGGCGAAGGACCTTCTTGTATGTGTTGCGCCCTAATGCGCCCGTCGCAATTTCAAGATGCGAAAGATTACCTATGGCTGTATGGCATTGAGCTGGCAACCAGCACTACTTTGTATTTATACTCGGCCCCGGAACATGGAATACTTGACCCCCAATCTGCCCAATCAGGCGGTCCGCAGAATCTTGTTTTGGCTGGTCATTTCGTCAGAATGATGTCATCACAAAGTTCTAGGTTGGTATCTAGGGTGTTTCCGAAACGAATCGAATGTGTCAACGTCTCTAGGGGAGAGAGGTGGGTATTTCCGGTACGTCTCCGAGACTTGACCGGTTCTGGATACGTTTTGTACGTCACTGTGCGGAAACGTTTTGCTGTGTACAGATCCGATACGTCTCCGAGACAGTTGCTGGAACATATCTGTTGCACTCAGGAGATGTTCAGTAAAGCACGTGCAGCGATAGATGCATACGTATACATTCAGCGCCAGTTATTGAAAGACACGTGTCGCACTGTAATTGGATTCATGAATGAACAGTTCAGCCCGTGCCAGAGCACCTAATTGCGCATATATAATACCATCAATATATTGCTACGGTGATCAAATGCATCACTAGTGACCTGCATGGGCTGCCGCCCACACTTGATGCGAGCATGCTTCGAATCTAAAGCCGGCTCTTACAATCTCGATCGAAAACATATCAATGCATTGAGCAACTCCGAAAGCTACTACAAGAAACTCATTTCTGATCAGGCACATACTTGCACAAAAAGATTCTGTCGACGTGTCAAAGAGGTGGAATGATGCTGATCAACTTATCAAGCCGCTAGGCCGATGAGCTCGAACCAATTCGTCTCTCATCGCCAAGTTCAGAGTCAGCCTGCCGAATTCTACAGAGCAACAAACCTGTACAAATCACAATGAACTAGACTGAACTGGTCGCCGCTCCTCCAACCCTGAGCGTCCAACCAGAGAATCAGATATCTTACAGTTCTACAGTGGCATTGAATACACCTTCTTGAGCCTTATCCGATCGAAGTTCGTACTTCGTATCTACTACCGTACTACAGCCTGGACTGAGGGTCCGGCATATCTGGAAGATCGAACTTCCGGGTGAGAGTGAATCTAGAGTTGCTCAACGCGCGGCTCGCTGGGCTCGTGATCTTCATCGCCCCAGGCAGTGCCCCAGGGGGTGCCAGGGTGCGCCTCCTCCTCGTTCATATCAGCCGCGCTATCATCACGTGGTGCCACATCCTGCAAGTTGGAAGGTTTTGGGACTCGTCTTTCAACAGGCTTAGAATCTGGTTTCCGATTGCGTGTCTAATGATTCAGTCAGTTACTTCCGAGCATGGGCCTCAGGTACGAAGGAGTCGAGATCATTCGAATCGACTGTGCGCATCAGGATCAAATGCTCCAAAAGCCAGTGGAGCCGGTGGTACAGACCAAGCCACTGCGCGCATCCGGATGACTCGAAGTTGGAACTGATCAGACGAGAGCGCCTTCAAGTTCACCCTGATCTCTTACCAACCAGAAGCACAGCTCAATTCAAGACTGATTGAAAGCGGGGCCAACTCCCACCTCCTCATCTTCGCCTATGTGGACGATGTCAATAGCATGTACGCGGTCCTCCTCCAGCCACGACTCGACAGCCTCCGCAATGTCACGCAGTTCTTGCTGTAGCTGAGAGTCGTCATTGACCCGGCCGGTCTTGATGGGTTTCTTCAGGACAAGGGCCTCCAGCTGTGAACATCAAGACAGGACCGCGCAGTGTTAATTATCTTGCAACCGGCACTTTCTTGAGAGTTGCAAGAGTGCGAGAGTGCGCACGGAACAGACTTCAACTCAGGAAACTTGAACAGTTTGCACCCAGTTTGCAGTATACAGCTAGCTTTTTGCAGTCACACAACTTCTTGCACCTGATTATGTTCAAGAGTCATGCACTCGCTTGAGGTAATAGCAAGCTGAGAACCCGTAATTGCATCTCACCCGACGCAGAGTGTAGCACAGCTGATCAAACGTGACAGCTGGCTTGGAAGTCCTTGTCTTCCCTGCCGCAACCCCGTAAACACATCCGTGCAGGGCGGATAGAAGCTCCGGGGCGGCCAGGGGGTCAGTGCCCTTCTCACGCCATGCATTGCCTGCAAAGCATAAACCCCAGTGATCAGCCACAAGCCTGCATAAATCAGCTGTGCAATCTGACTTGGATCCAACGTGACTGCAGCTACTGAAGTGCACAAAGAGCGCCTGAAGCAAGAGACACGTTAGAATTCTGCCAATGATTTCGCAAACAACTTGTTGCGCCAAGACTTGAGAACTTCGCAGTTGCATCTTTGATGACTTCGATTTACCAGAGACAGTGTAAAAAGAATCACTTTCGAAGTACCACAGAATTGTCAAGGGCAATGACGCAGTGGTTACCTGTGGCCAGTCTTGCCAAGTTGGCCTCGTATGCAGGACTTGACGAGTCCCCCACAGCTCCATTGAGGAGAAAGCAGGACACCGCTGCATCCCCTACCTTGAACCTCCGGTTCCAAACGAGTTGCTTGATCTTGCTCGTGATTGCTGGGGTGTTGATGTACTTGACAAGCTCTTCTTGTAGGGGGCTGTCGGGAGGAATATGGTCAAAGACGTTGTTGACGACGACGTCCTTGATTATGTCAATGCTTGGGAACAAGCTGTGGTACTCCTCCCGGCATGTCATGATATGACCAATGGCTTTGCCAATGGCCCTCTGCAAAAAGACGGGAACAAAGATGATCAGTATAACAGACTTCTCAACCCTGTTTTGCGCACGCAGAATGATAGATGCAGAAACAAACATAGAATCAACTTTTGAACAATCTGGTCAATTCTCAGAGGAAGTTCTTCCTCCTTCAACACCTGGATCAGAGATTCTCATCAGCATTCTTTGAAGAGCTGAATTCGTCTTATAAAGAGAGAAGATGCAGGTCGACTTGCAGTCAATTGGAAGGAAGTTGTCTCTATGTTCAGTTGCGGCTAGAGGCAGTGGACCTTATCAAATAGTCACCTACCTGTCATGCTAGAACGCTTCAGTTTGTGTACGATATAGCCACAAAGCTTTGTGGGAAACAAAGAGCACACAGTGAACAGCCTGAGCTTACCGTCACTTCCGCTTTGGTGAAGTTCTGTGCGGGATTCTCAAGCAGCTTGTGACCCACAAATGTGTTAAAGGTCTTGGCGTGTTGAAGTAGTTTGAAATTCATCTCCTCTGATTTTGCCAACTTCTTCTTTAAGTCTTCAAGTTGAAGCCGGTCTGAGGCATTGAGAGGGAGGCTTTCAAGGGGCCGCCGAACCTGCAACTCAAGACCTGCAAAGCAGTCCATATGAGACATTAGAGAAAGGAGTGAGCACATGCAACTGAGCTATACATGAGCTATAAATGTTCATTGTTGGCAAACAAGAAGACTGCTGTAGCCTTTAATCTGAAGCTGCACACTTTGCAACATGATCATACTGAAACATCCTGACTCGAAACAGCAAACTCTTGCAGAATTTTCAGAAAGCCCACAGAAAGTCTCAAGAAAGTCTACAGAAAACCAAGAATTCGTTGGGGGAACTTCCCACTCCAGTCAGACGTAAGCGGTGTTCAGCTATTGGTAGTTCTGGTGCAACAT